GGTCCCCCAGCCCCTGGTTCGGGGGGGGGGGGGGAGTGGTTTCAGGGAGCTGTGGGCTTCTCCTGCACCCTTTTCGTTCAGACCTGACACTTTCTGAAAAGGAGCATTTGCTCCATCTTATTAATTTCTGGAAGAAACAGAGCATCTGCAGCTGAGTTGACTGAGCATTCTCCCAGGGAGCCCCATCTTTCATACCAATGACAAGGTAGGGGTTCAGGGACAAATTTGGGGTCTCCCCACCCAGGGCATCCCCATTACCTCGAAGTCCAGGTAACCCAGGGGTGCCAGGCTCGCCTTCCTTTCCTTCATCCCCCTGATCACCTTTGGGTCCCGGTGGCCCTGAAAGGGTTAAAACAGCAGCAAGGTTAGAGAGCTGCTTTCTGGAACAAGACCAGGACTTCTGTGGAGAAACTGAAATCCCCTGTCTCAGAGAGGAAGGGTCAGCACTGTGCTTCAGAAGCACACAGGGCCCCACCTAGCCCAGTTTTGGGGAGCATCAGGGAAGGCTTCCTGGAAGAAGTAATACCCAGAGTGAAATCTCAAGGAGAAATAGGAGATAGCTAAGTAGAGATGGAGTGAGAGTGTGTTATGGATTGAGTATTTGTACCACCCCCATCCACATGTTGAAGCTATCACCTGCAATGTGATAGGATTAGAGGAGGGGCCCTTGGGAGGTGATTAGGTTTGGATGAGGTCATGAAGGTGGAACCTCCATGATGAGATTAGGAGCTTTATAAGAAAAGATACCAGAGAACTAGCACGAGCCCTCTCTCCATCTTCCTGTCCCTCAGTCCCTCTCTCATGCTCTCTCTCCCTTGATGTCACTGCCATGGGAGGACACAGCAAGAAGGTGGCCACTGTCAATCCAGGGGGAGGGCCCTCATCAGAGCCTGACCGTGCTGGCACCCTGATCTCGGACTTCCAGCCTCCACAGCAGTGAGAAATCAACACCTGTTGTTCAAGCCACTCTCCAGGCTATGATTTTTCTTTTGTCTCTTCAGATGCCTTTTTACCATGGGTCTGTGATCTTTTATTGTGGCAGCCCAGGCTGGCTGAGATTGAAAAGGGAGAGTTCCAGGAAGAGGGGAAAATCCCTATACAGGCTTTAAGGGAAGAAAGAGATATGAAAGCCACGATGGGATAAGAAGCTGGGGAGCACAGTGGGGTGGGAAAGTGGGGGGTCTTGGAGGCTTGACCTGAGCATTGGACTCGACCCCAACTGAGGGCACCAGGAGTCAGAGGAAAGGCATGAGGAAAGAGCCCTGTTAGATCTGCATGCAAGGAAGTCGGCTCAGCTTTGGTGTAGAAAGTGGATCAGGACAGGAGGGAGGCTGGAGGAGGGGGAGGCTGCCGTCTGTCCAGGTGAGAGGTGGTGGATCCCTTCACTCATGAGCTGGCTGTGTGGCCTCAGACAGGTCACTTCAACATGCAGCGTTGTGGTGGGGACTGAATCCAACCACGTGCGTTAGAATCCCGGCCATGCCGGAGCCTCGGCCTGGAAGGCAGCCCCCTCAGGAGCAATGGGAAACCCTTTGCTGTGGTTTCACCCCAGGTCTTTCTGTCCCTGTGCACTCAGCCACACCCCCAGGACTGGACATCTTGCGATTCCCAGGACCCTCCTGCCACCCACTGTTGCACCTGCTGTTCTGGTGGGTGAGCCTGTGAGCCCACCCTGTCACTGCCAGCCCTGAGACTGTGCATGGCCATCTTCTCGACTCATCACTCCTGCTGAAAGTGAGCATGACCTGTTTGAACACACGTCCTTGATGCCATTGGACATGTATCTCACACTGTCTTATCCTGCAGCCATAGAGAGTGGGTTCTCTCTTTTCTAACAAAACTGCCGGCTCCCCGGGACAGGACTTTACCTCCTGGACCTGCTGGGAAGGCTCAGACTCCAAGCTCTCGCCTCCCGCTGCTTTGCAAGAGAGAAAGGGGATCAGGAATAATGTCCACACTGTATTGTACTGGGTTGCAGTGTCCCCCTCAGCCCCATTCATGTCAACTCAGAACCTCAGAATATGACCTTATCTGGAAATAGGGCCTTGGCAGATGTAATTAGTTAAGATGAGATCGTACTGGAGTATGGTGGGCCCTAATCCAATGACCACCAGTCCTTGTAAGAAGAGAAAACAGACAGAAGTGCGTGGAGAACACCACGTGATGACAGAGACAGAGACTGCAGTGACATGTTTACAAGCCAAGGAACATCGAGGATTGCCAGCGACCACCAGGAATTAAGAAAAGGCAAGGAAGGGCCCGTCCTTAGAGCTCTCAGAGAGAACATGTCCCCGTGGACACCTTGATTTCAGACTTCTAGTCTCTAGAACTGCGAGAGAATAATTTCTGTTAAGCCATGCAGTTTGTGGTGCTTTGTTATGGCAGCCCTAGGAAACCAAAACATGTATACTCACAGCATAGCGGTCACGTCTTGCACAATAAATAGTTGATGAATGAATGAATGCATGAGATCAGAGGGTGCTAATACACACAAAACAACCATGCAGCCAAGATCGAGATGTACTGATACATTCCGAAAGTTGGCACTGTCTTCAGACCCTGACCAAAGTTGACAGCTGTTTAATATTTCAATGGCACACGCACAAGGGAAAAGTAATCAACAAATTCACAAGTTACACAGATCATTTAAGGAGGACCAGGTTTTGTAGCTGTTATCCTCTTTTCCATGAAGAAAAGCAAAGTAGGACCGGCCATGCTGATCCCAGTTTGCAGACGCAGAACCTGTTTGGAACAGGCCTAAGACTGCGCAGCCAGTGAAAGGCACAGTTAAGAATCAAACGAGCTGCACAGCTCCATTCCAGCCATCTCCCGTCCAGGCCAGGGCTGCAGTGACGGCAGCCGAGAGAGAGCGCCTGGATCTGTGCTGCTGGGCTGGCCCCCACTTTGCCCTGCTGGGAACCCAGGCGCTCCAGGAATCAAGCTGGTCACAGTGTAAAGGATGTGGGTGTGAGCCACCATCTGGATCTTCCCAGGAATACCTCTCACAAAGGGAGAACGCTGCCCGGCAGGCTGGCGCTGATGGGGCACCCGGTGGAGACGTGTGGAAGGTGGGGGTTGACTACAGACACAGAGTGTCTTGGATTCAGGGCCTGGTTCTATTAAAATGCAGGTGGAAATCCCTTTTTCCTGCAGTCAGCAGGAGGCGTGAGTGGATTTGACAACATGAACACAAATGGCTCCATAACCTTGAGAGGTTAGGCCTGTGCACTACTCTTCATAAGGCGACCTCGGAACTGTCATAAGATTTCTGCTCAGGGTTATTCTACGGCACATCTGAAGTCACCCTGCCTCTCTGGGATGGGTCACCCAGGGATGTCTAAAAACATCCCACACATGGATATATTGTTTTAAACGCAAGTGAGTGGTGAGTGAGGGTCTTCACTAGAGGTTACCCAGGAGAAACTGGGGTGGACAGTGACAGTGGCCGCTGGTTCCCAAGCCTCAGTCACATCCTCAGGCGGTGCTGGCAGTGTGACCAGGGCCCGGGGGGCAAGGTGGCCTGGTGCTCCCAGGACCCAGTACTTCCTCCATTATGGCTGCTGCCACAGGCAGTGCATCCCCCGGATCTGACTTCTCTCCATGTTCATCAGAGCCTTTTCCCCCAGAAATCCAGGCTAGAAACCTCGAGCCTGCTTGAGCCCTCTTTCCTTTGTCTCCTCAGCCTCCTTCCCGCCACCTGTATTGCAGGCTTGTCACCAAGGAGAGTCCCTCTCATGTCTCCACCTCCTGCTTCAACACCACCATTGGGTCCCCATGGCCTCACTGAAGGCTTTCCAATGACCTCCTGTCTCTGGTCTCTCTCTGAGCCAACTGTGTGCCTTGCTGTCTGATTAATCTCTCTGAAATAGCAGGACAACCACACGAATTCAGAGCCTTCAGGGGCCCTCACAGCACACTGGGCCATAGCCCCTCCACTGGAGACCCCTCAAGTCCACTCACCATCTGACTCTTTCTGCTGCAGACTTACGGCTGGAGGATTCTGGGCACAAACTCTCCTCTACCTTGGCAAAAACGTTCTCCTCAGGGTGTCCCCAACCACGAGCCAAATCCTTTCCTTTTTAAGAGTCCAGTCCGTCTGAGACCTGAAGTCACCTTCAGGCCCACCCTTCTGATCTCTTAGGGCACTATAGGCAGAGCCCCTGAATCTCAGAGCTGGAAGGAACCTGGAGACCACTGTGCTCAATGGCCTGTGGGAGCACCCCGAGCCTGGTCAGGCCGGCCCCCTTGCTGGGCACCATCACCCACCTGGAGCTGTGGTCCCGCTAGGAGACAGCCTCCCCGTAGCCCTGTGCCTCACACACACCTGGCACACAGTTGGGGTGGGGGACTTGTATGTGCTGGAATTGGGGAGAGACCCCCCGAAGAACACATGCTCAGGACCACTGATGGACCAGACCTGCAGCCAGCCATACTGTGACCAAAATCGTGATGTAAACACCACCCTGAGAATCACACGAATCCCGAGGTGGCTGGCAGAGGGTGGAGTCCCCCAGCCAAGTGCTCCACTTGCAGGTCCCCGAAGTCCCCAGGGCACTGGACTCCCAGCAACTAGCACCTGCACGGTTTGGGGAGCTCTCCCACTTCCATCGTTTATGGCATCTGTCCACACCCCTGAGAAGTGAACAGGGTGGGGATGGTCAGCCCTGTTTCACAGCCACGGCCACTTGGACCCCAAAAGGTGCAGGGACTGCCCTGGCTGTGGTCCTCTGAGCCTTAAGGGAACAAGGGATAGGGGGCCGGGCTGAGTCCAACTTTCACAGGCCCCCCACTCCCTTCCTAGTGGAGAGTCATACAGTTCACTCAGGTCTCCGCCAGGCCATGTCCCCATCTTTAGAAGAGCAGGAATGCTGTTTTACATGTTGCTGCATTTGCTGAGATGCTCAGCACTTTCAGCAGATCCCCTGTAACTGGAAGCCACTGTCCCAGTGTTTGAGCTGGAAGCCACCGTTTCACTCCTTTCCTCCATCCCTTTGTAAATATTTGTTGAACTGGACTCTCTACTAGCTGGTGTCTTTCCTTAAAAAAAGCAGCCCACGGATAAATCTGCTTTGGACTTTTCTTGAGCCCAGAGAAGTGTTTTCTAGTCCCAGCTCGGCCGCTGGCTCGGTATTTGACTCAGGCAAGTCATTCCCCCTTGCTGAGCCTCAAGGTCCTCAGCTGCAAAACGAGAAGATTGCACTGGAGGATTCCAGAGACCTATCACCTCTCCAAAGTTCTGTGGTCCTAGAAGCTTGCATTCCAGCAGAAAGAGCCATCTGAATGTGGCTGGAGCCCTGCCTCCAGGCTTAGCTCGTGTCTTCCCTCCTGGCATGTCTCCCCTTACCGGTAATCTAAATTTTCTGCTTCTTTCAAACCCACAGACAGATTTCAACAGACCTGACTGATGCTGAAAATCCAAAGCAGAAAACAGAAAGCCTCACTGTGGATGTTTGCAAAAAACAAACTGGAGACAAAACTCATCAAAACTGTACAACAAAGCTAGAGGATAGAAACCATTTGGGTCAAGCTCAAGAATAACATAAATAAACTCTTATTTGAGAAAAATTCAGTATTTGTGGATTCTGAGGAATTCACAAGTACTGAGTGCGTGCGTATATGTGAGTATGTCTATGTATGTGTGTGTTTGTCTACGTATATGTGTGCACGTGTGTATGTGTGTACATGTGTGTGTACATGTGTGTGTGCGTACATATGTGCTTAAAGACCCTAAGAGAGGAACTGGACAAAGCTGGGCAGAAAGGCCACTCCAGACAGCAATTTGGAAATAAATGCACGGAAGCTTATCTGGTAAAACACCCCTTGTCCAAAAGCTAGGGTAGAACGTTGTTTTATTAAAGTTGAGTGGTAATTACATTCAGATATGTCAAACAGAAGTCTTTGTTTTATTTGTGGCTGGCTGGTACAGGGATCCAAACCCTGACCTTGGTGTTACAACACTGCACTCTACCAAGTGAGCTAGCCGGCCAGCCCAGAAGTCTTTTTAATAACAACAATTAGGCCACAATGAGAGAGCAAGGTGAGAAAGGGAGAAACTAGATACGGGGTGACATGAGAGCTGGGGGCCAAGTGGTTCAACTGGGAAGCGCCAGGAGCCCCTGCACTGTGGTCTGAATGTCTGCGTCCCCCCCGCCCCCCGCCCCAGGTCATATGTTGAAACCTAACCCCCAGTGCGGTGGTATTAGGAGGTGGGACCTTTGGGAGGGGATGAGGTCATGAGAGCTTGCTCCTGAATGGGATTTGAGCCCTTATGAGAGAGGCTCCAGAACGCTGCTTCACCCTGTCCACACATCAGGACCCAGCAAGAAGGAGCCAGCTGTGAACCAGGAAGCAGCCCCTCGCCAGACACTGAACCTGCCGGCACCTTGACCTTAGACTCCCCAGTCCCAGAACGTGAGAAAGAACCGTCTGCTGTTCATAAGCCACACGTCTATGCTATTCCACTATGGCAGCCTGAACTGACTCCTCCACCCATCAAGAAACCAGCGCCTGGAGACTGGAAGGCAGGCCCGGGCAGGATGGAGATGAAACTTTCAGTTCAAGGGAACCAAGGGTAGAACTTAGTTTGAGAACCAAAGACAGACTATTTAGAAGATTCCACTGGATGCATCCTGGCAAATGGGTGACCCCCAGAGCAAGGAGCCAAAGAGAGTGGACGTGGAAAGGAAAGAACCCGGATGTGAGTGTTTGGTGAGGCCCCAGAGGACGCACGGGCAGGGAGCGTGGCGATGTCTGTGGACTGGAAGAGGATGGAAAGAGAAAATGCCCCAAATGCAGGAAGGGAGCCCAAGGGACCATGCACTCTTCTCTTGTCCTTGCTTGTGGCTGGGAGCCTGGATGGTCAGTGACAACAACCCAGGTTTCTGGGCCAAAGAGGCCCATGTGCAGACCTCGGCTTTGCCACTTGCCGGCTGCATAGAAAACAGTGGGAAAGTTTTTCAGGCTTCTCATCTATAAAGTGGGGACAACGATACCTTTTGCAGGATGTGAGGATTAGAGGTCTTGAACATCTATTTGGAGAATTAATATCTACACAATGTCTGGCTCATCATAGGTCATAATCAGTGTGGCTACTGTTATTAGTAAGCACCTGAACAGACTGCCATGGGCAGGGGAGGTCGAGGGAGAGAGAAGACAGAAAAAGCCACTTCCCAGGGGTGGGGATTTGGAAGAAGAAATTCTACCTCAAACCCTTCTTTGATTTCTGAGATGTAAAAGTCAAAAGTGACTCAGGACCAGAAAACCAGGTTGGGCAGGGGAAGCCTCCGATTGCCCAGTGTCCAGATTCACCAGCTGTCCCACAAGCATTCTTTGAGTCTCGTCGTGTGTATTGCAGCGTTAGTGCTGGGCACACAGAGACAGACAGATCAGTGTGGGCTTCGAGCAGCAGCAGGAGCACTGGGCATCGGGATTAAAAGTCCTGGTCTTGTCATTGAACTATACACTTAAAATGGGTGAATTTTATGGCATGTAGATTATACCTCATTAAAGCTGCTGAAAGAAAAAGGCCTGGATTGGATCATTACCAGCTGTAATTAGCCAGGTCCTTGCTCCCTGAGCCTGTCATCTTCCTGCCAAAATCCTACCCCTCCCTCAGTGATGACACTTGCCTTAAACCTAGCCCAGAGCTGAGCTGGCCACAAGGACCCACTTTAAAACAAAACAGTGTGCATGAACACGCTCTGTGGACTGGGAAGGAAGGCCCATCACTACACTTTCCACTCTGGTAAATGTAGAAGCTCAGAGGAGGGAGACTTTACTGGGCTAGAGAGGTTAAGGAATTCTTGGAGGAGTAGGTTTGGGTGAGATCTTGAAGCATCAGTGGGATTGGGTGGGTGAGGAGGAGGGGCAGGAAGAGGGCACTGCAGTGGGTGGACAGCTGGGGGAAAGCGGTGGAGGAACAGGGAAAGGCAGGCAATGCTTTCAGGGCAGTGACCAGGTGTGTCCCTCTGGACTGGACACCTCACCCAGGACCAGGGGTGCAAGCTGACCATGCATGAGCTGTATATGGCCCACAGAGTTAAACAATGAAATGTTTCCAGAAGTTCCCACGCTTCTATTTTTCTCTTGGAAGATGGGAAGACTTTGACATCCTGGACCCACCTTCCAGCCTGGCAAGAATGGGCTGGACTTGCCATAGCCCCCTGACACCAAGATCACTTTGCTTATTGCTCGATGGCCCCTGCAGACAGTTCCATGTGCACCCCTGGTATGAGGGACAGTGGAAGAGAAGGCAGGAATGACAGAACAGGAATGCAATTCTGGGATCAGAAAGGCCTGGGGACAAATCCTGCTTCGTCACCTCTTGGCCCTGCAACGGTGGCCAAGCTAAGCTATTTCAGCTTCCAGAATCTCAGTGTCCTCATCAAAGCAGCACGGACAATTGCACTCTATGCCTCAGAGAGTTGTTTTTAAAGGATGCTGTATGAGATACACCCAGCACAGGACCCGACCCATAGTAGAGGCTCAAAATGGCATTACTACTGCTGCCTGTCAGGCTAAGGAGTTTTTAGTGAATCAGCAGACTTTGGGGAACCAGGGCAGGTGTTGAGCCAGGGAGAGGTGCGGGAAAAGTGCACTGCATGAGGGGCCTCTGTGGGCACATGCAGCAGGAAGGGACGGGGGTGGGGAGTGGGGGGAGGGACCCACTGGTGAGGGGTGAAGGCAGGGAAGGTGGGTCTCTAGACTTTCACATTTGCAGGCCCGTGGCAAGAGAATGGGGGCCCAGGGGGCCCATGCGTTTGTGCTTCTGTATTTAAGAGTTACAAATGAAAGTAGCAAATTGTTAAATAAAATATGTTCTTCTACCTGGATGATTACATCTTCATCACAGCCTACAAGGCCAGCTTCAAATGTGGAATTCTCCAACTCCCTGGAGCTCTGACTATCGGAACACCATGACACTGCAGGAGCTAGCCCTCTCTATTCCCTGCTTGAGCCTGCAGCCTGACCCCTTCTCCTCCCTGCAGTCCCAAGCTCTTGGAGGCTCTGACGGATCTGCCTAGGCATGAGAACGGCCAAGGGTGACTAACGAGGACAGGCCATTCTCATGCCTAGGGGTGTGGACACTGAGTTGGCTCTCTGGCCTAGGGAGGTTTGCCCAGGGGAGAGACCCGTGCAGGCCCTGGAGGTGGGTACAGGCCGTTTGGGCTGAAAATTCCAGAGTAGGGCAACACTTAAAAGCGGGGGTACGAGCTTGGAGTGGCAAGTGCACTTGGGGATAGGGACTCCTAGGCTCTTGGGAAAGGGCGCTTAGGAGGAAGCCCTGAGCACCCAGGGTCGGGCTGGGATGGGCCGGGCGGTACCTTTGGCCAGGGAGATGTTCCTCAGTGCGATGGAGTGCTCCCAGTCCTTGAGACGCAGGTCTTCGGTGACTGTGTTGAGCACAGCCAACTCCTGCTTGAGCTGCAGCTCCATGCCCATGTGCACCAGGCGCATGCGGCGTGTGTCCTCGCTGGCGTTGCTCACCAGCACCTGCAGGTCCTGCAGCCGCGTGTGATGCAGAGCCACGTCATAGGACAGGCTGTGGTTGAGGCCGCGCAGCGCACCCCCAACGTCAGCCAGCTCCTCGCCCAGGATGCCCACCCTGCGGGCCAGCCCGTCCAGCAGGCCCGCGTGGCGGCGCAGCAGCAGCTGGCTGCGGTTGCTCTCCACCTGCAGCTGGTACAGCTCCAGCTGCGCAGCATCGCTCTGCTGGCCCGTGCGGTCGCGCAGCAGGGCCACCGCCTGCTCGGTCTGCGCCGCCTGCGCGTGCAGCCCCCACAGCACGCCCTCCAGCCGCTGCACCGCGCCCGCCAGCGCCAGCAGCGAGTCTGACTGATTCTGCAGTGCGTCCTGCACCTTCCACACCTGCTCCGTCAGGTCGGCCTGCAGCGGAGCCTGCAGTAGCCGCAGCTGCAAGTCCCGCCAGCTCTCGTTCAGCCGGTTCACGTTCCGAGTGAGCGCCTTCAGGTCATCCGGGGAGCTCCGGGGCCTGGCTACTGCGGAGGAGGAGGAGAGAGATGAGCGCGCTGGGGAGCAGGTCCCAGGTACCAAGAGCCTAGCGTGCAGTAGGTGCTCAATAAATGATAGCTGAATGAAAAGCAGATCCCAGCCGCTGTGCTCACCAGCCAGTGGTCCCCAGACCTGTGTGTGCATTTGAATCACCTGGCCGGGTGTCTCACCTGCAGAAACTGTGATTGAAACAGTCTGGGGTGTGACCTGGGCTCTGGGATTTTTAAAAGACCCCGAAATAATTGTAAGATGCAAACAAGTTTATGAACCACTGTACTAATCTAACCATCACGTGTTAGTTTGATCTGTATGAAATTGCCATTTTTGTGTATTGATGAATGGTTAGATATCAGCAGTTTCCTGTTGTTCAACCTAAGAAATGGGTGTTGTTATCCTCTCGACTTTAGAGGTGGAGACCTGCTATGGTCTGAATATGCCCCCCCTTCCTATGTGGAAACTTAGTTGCCAAAGTGATAGTATTGAGAGGAGGGGCCAAGATCAAGGGATTGGATCCCCCTACCAGCCAGCCACCACCCCACCCCACATACAAACATAGAGGCAGTGAATTTAGGAGATGATTAAGTCGTGGGAATGGGATTAGTTTCCTTATAAAAGAGGTGCCAAGGAGCTGTTGTCCCTTCTGCCATGTGAGGACCCATAGAAGGTGCCATCTATGAGAGAAAGGCCCTCACTGACACTGAATCTGCTGGCCCCTTGATCTTGGACTTCCCAGCCTCCAGAACTGTGAGCAATAAATTTCTGTCATGTATAAATTATCCAGTCTAAGGTATTTTTTTATAGCAGCCTGAACAGACTATGACAGTACTATTATTACCCCTCCTACAGTCAGAGCTGGGAACACTGCCCTGGGTAGCACGGCAAGCAAATGGTAGCCCAGAGGGCTTGCTCCAGAGCCTGGGGACTTTCCCTCGAGTCTGTGCCACCCCAGGGCAGCCTCAGCTAGGCTCAAGGCGACAGTGTTTATTTTATGTCCTCCTGAGTGCCGGGGCCCATTTCCTCCTGCTTCAGGAAGGGCCCTCCTGGGCAGTGAGGACTGATTTTACATCAATACCCTCCCTTCTCTGCATCCCCCAACCCTTCTAGATCCCCCCTTTTCCTCCCCAGCAAAGAACCTGTCCCATGGACTCCCACCCTTTCCTCTTAGTTTCCTTCTCTTGGTTTCCTTTTCGGTTTTAAGCAGCTGTTGCATGATACCAAGAGAAGGGCTGTGTGCGTCAGTCATTGTACCCTAGCGTCCCTTTATCTCCTAGAGTTCAGGACTGCACAGGTGCACCACCAGTCCTGTAGCCGGGCTGTCTAGGGATGCCTGTTTGCACACTCTGCTCTGCACAGTAGAAAAACAGAAACGAGAAATGGGGGTGGAGCCCAGTAGGGGTGGGGCAGGTGAGGCACAGAGAGATTCGATCTTGGAAATCTCGGAATGGAGAAAACCAGAAAACTTGGTACACAGATTGTTCAAACAATGAGAAAATTGTAATGGAATAGGTTCTCTTGCGGAATGTTATGTTGGGAAGGGGGAATCAGTTGTGAGGGCTCTGGGGCCAGGTGCAGACCAGCTGGTGCAATCCTTCAGTGATGCGTCCAGAAGCACACAGCATTGGTGGTGGCCACACTGGAGGAGATGTCATTAAAGATTAGGTCCAGAGGCTCATAGGGCTGCATGGGTCTTGGGACCGTCCTCACCTCCTCCCCCACCCAGAACATGAACTCAAGAAGATCCTGCTGCCAAGTGGTCACCCAGCCTCTGCTTGCACCAGTCCCTCTGCCTTCAGTTACTGCTGACTGTTGGAATGTTCTGCAATCTATCCAGACTTGAAACTTGCCTCCCTGTAGTTTCTATCCACTGAGGCTGAACTTTGGTGTCACATGGAACATGGGAAGTATTTTTTCTACAACACAGGTCTTCAGAATTTCAGAGAGTTATCATGTCCTACTACACGATAACTTTTCTGGTTTAAAATCTGCACTGCCTTCATTTATTTCCTGATGTCTAGGTTCTAAACCTCCATTCATACTGGCTGTCCTCTACCGTATGTACCCCAGATCGTCAACTTCCCCATAAAAGCTGGTGCTTGATCAAAGTGTGATTTTCCAAGGTGCAGACAGACTGGGCAAAGGGTGGTAGAAGGATCATCTCCTCCATCCCGGCCATGAGACTTCCACTGAGATGACCAACATCAGGCCCTGGTTAGCTTCATCAGGGCTGTGCAGAGTGTAGCCTCGGGGTTGGGTCTATACAGACTCTGCTGAACTGGACGTTACCCCATTTGACAAATGAACAGACCAATGTTGGGAGAGTGTGAGTGACCTGCTAATGGCAGGCCTCCCGATGCCACAGCTCATCTCTGGAAGGTTAACCAGAGTTGTCAACACCAGGAAAGGTCCCAGGGAAAATGAATCCACAACCCAGTCACAGCCCAGGGGTCCACAGGGTTTGTCTGTTGAAGAAAGCATCACAGGCCAGGATCTGATCCTAAAACCAACATGTCAGTCCAATATTTGGCCCAGATTGGTGACAAGTACTGACACAGGGCACCAGGGAACAGAAGCCAATACTTACATGCCAGTCTCTTCTCTCGATGCCCCTGGAGCTCAGAGAGACACTGTGGCTTATCAGAAGTAGGAGGAACACTCTGAGCTTTGTAGGACACTCTGGTTTTAGAACTGGGATTGTGGGCGACTAAGAGAAACAGCGCCACCTCCTTGACTGAAATCCCAGGACCGATGGAAGGCCACATTTGCCCAGAGGCAGGACCATGAAGTAGGCAACGTCCTTCCCTCCCACTGTCTTCCCAGCTGCGCCGGCCCCTCCATCCCTCTTCAGGTTGTCCCCGTGCCCCTCTGGTCCCCTGTGCCCTGGGAGGCCCGGGCCTGCCCCTCAGCCAATCCTCTCAGCACCGACCAGCTCTGGGCCCTTCTCTCTGTCCATATGGTGACAGCTGACAATCAGCTGCCCC